TTCAGCTTTCATACGCTGGTGCGTGAAATTTTTAACTGTTTTTCAATGTTTGAACTATTTTTACATGGACTAAAGTACAAGGAAGTGAAAATCATTAACAGGCAATCGTTCGATGGGCTGAACTGCACGAAACGCATGATCGCACCGGCTAGTCTGGTGCGCGTTGCCATTTATTCACATTTTCACAGAAAACAGTGTGCGATGAGCTAAAATTTCCCCCTTGTACTAAGCCCTTCGATTCTGTGTATCTTTTGGGGTCGCCTGAGTGGTCGTTTACTTTCTCGTGGATACCATTAGATGATGCGCAGCGTTCATTCGTTGCCAGCAAAGCGAGCAGCATATCCGGTCCATCGGACTGTTGCTATTAACGATCGGGTATTCACGAGCCCTACTGACCTCTTCCAGTACTTTGAGCGGTATCCTTCGAGAGAATGCCATCAGCAATCGCCGAACTGCATGAGAAGTTCAGCCACACGCGGGTTCTTCTGCTCGTGGCAGTGGTAATATGCCGACGTAAGGCTCAGTAGCCTATGGATTAAGGCAGCGAGGATAAGTGCGGTTGCCTTCCGCAATGCTCTTGGTGTCCGGGGATGGTCCCTGAGCACTCGCGAAGCAGGCGGGACTCAGCGACAGTGCCGTATGTGCTGGTTTGAGCCCGAAACACCTGACCATATTGGTACCATTCACATTGGTAAGCGATGTCCATCGATTATCGGCAAAGCAGGGAACTTGTCCCACCCGATTTTTCAGTTTTTTTGGTACCATTCACTTAGTACACGATTCTCAACGGTTGTCAGCAAGGCGAGCAACATGTCCTGCCCATCGGATTTTACTCCCTCGGAATGTAAGAGCGATTGACTCATTTCACGTAACTCACCTGATGCACTATCGTCGTTTTTTGCAGTTATGATGCATAGACATGTGCTTCGTAGGTGTCTCTCTTGGAGCGCAGTTGTTCGAGCAAAGGAACAAACTGTACGACCACCTATTCAGGTTTTTTTATTTGATATTAAATATTAAGATAATTATTAGATTAATTCTATTAAAAATTTCCACATTTTGTC